GATAGCGTACCGTTGTTAGACATTTCGTATCCACTGCAGCTGTAGCGAGGTATTAACGCACGATTTTACACAAACTAGTGTAGCGCAGGAAGGACTCAACCGATCTTGTACCAAGTCTAGACATGCAGCTAAGATCACTACCGTTGTGCCGATATCCACCAATGACATGCCACTTTGTCTAGTAGTACATGGTATAATCGGTGCAGTTACTTTTGGGAAACAGTAGTGTGTCGGGATTGTGCAAGCAGAAGAAAGATACGATTTACATGGCGAAACAGGCGGCTATCGTGCCGCAGACGAACAGAACAGTTGATTGGACAGCTACGCATATTGCTTCTACGTCCTGATTGGTTAGCTGGAACAGGTTATGTTTAACTGATTCCAAGAATCACATGAACCCAGCAACTTGGTTAGATATCGAAGTGACTTAGTTATTTACATCGAGGTTCCTACAAACTTGTCATACTGTCAATTTTGCCCAGCTCGCTTTGCCTAATAAATCTTTCGTCCCCGAAAGGACTGAGTTCTGCGACAAGTAGTGGCGCCAGAATGTTGCCGAAAAAGCCCAACGGGAGTTCCTTTGTCTCAATATGGCACTGTATAACACGAAATCAGTTTTCCTACCACTGTACAACGAAAGGTTTAGTCCATATATGGGATACTGGGTTCATGCCTGAGCACATTCCTTTACGGATGTAGGTTGTCTATGAAAGATTGGTAACTTGGAATATTGAAATTCAAGGGGAGATGTCGTATGAACCTTGTCTGTTTTCCCTGGAAAGACGTGGATTGAGAGAGAAATCATCGAGCTACGTTTCAGCATAGGAAGGTACACAGTTCCATCATGCCTGCCGACCTGTCTGAGCCAGATGCAGCAGGCTATTTGCGAGGACATCGACTGGAGCCATGACAACAGCGTTAAATTTTGTAACAGGGCTTGTTTACACATATACAGTAAAAATTCTTAAGTTGATCCCCTTTATATTTTAACCACGTCTTTAAGTTTACTGGGTTTTCTGTTATTTGAATGTTCGCCATGTAAACCTTGTAAATCCAGACCGTTTTATGCTGATCACATTCCTATGTTGACCTCTTTGGTCCAATCCCTTACGGGGTCGAGTTACGGAGATTCCACTGAACAGTACGCTGGTGGTTAATTCTTACGGCTTTATTTAACTAATTTTATTCAACAAAACAATAAGGACATTTAACACAACTTCTTTAAATGATTCATTCACTAGGGAATGACCCTAATACATGCCTGAGGAGGGTCAGGCGCACACTGGCCTTTCTCGTCGATGTGACTATGTTAGTGCTCGGGCTCAGGTGGACGGATAGAATAGTGCCTAGGTCGCGTTTGTAGGATGTGACGTTAAGACGCACGCCGCCGATAGTGTACGAAGTGCCCGCACTGTGTCCAATGTGCATGAGTTTGCACCTGACGGAGTTGAACTGTAGCAGATTTTCCAAGGCCCAAGAGTAGGCAGCATCAATGTCTCGTTGAAGACGCACCCGATTGCTTGGCTAGCGGATAGGTCGCCCTACGTTAGCATAGTTCGTGTAGAGCAGTATATGGCTGCTAATGGAAGATGGAAGGTCATTAATAAAAAGGTGAACAGTAGGGGGCCCGAGGATAGACCCCTGAGTCACGCCAGTCGTCGCAGCCAGAGCGTTAGAGAGTGCGCCATTTCCATGAACTTGGTAGGTTCGCCCGGACAGATAAGTATTTAGCCAGGAGGTTGTTTGGTGGTCAATCCCCAAACTCGGCAATATACTTAAGAGAACTGTATGAGTAACCCTGTCAAATGCTTTTGAAAATGCTAGGTAAACAACGTCAGTCGGCGGATGGCTGTATGCCTCTGCTGTCCAAGAATCAAGAGATGCGAGAACATTTGTGGTGCACGAGTGATCCCTGCGGAACCCCTGCTGTTCCGCGGTTTTTAGAGACTGGCTTTCTAGATGGTAGCGAAGAGCATCGTCTGTGATGCTCTCCATTTCTTTGGAAACAGTGGGCAGCAGTGCTCTCGGGCGGTACTTAGAAGAGTTTGTCATGTCACCACCCTTGTATATCGGTGTTATGACCCCTTAATTCCAGACGTTCGGATATTCTGTGCTGGTGTGGGAGCGGCTGTACAGTGATGCGAGCGGTTCAGCCAAGTACAGCAGCACACTCACGCAGAAAGATGGGAGGGATCCCATCCAAACGCGGCAATTTGGCTGTCCTTAATTTTGCTAACTTTTCTAGAACTTTCTCTGGCGGAAACTGTACCTGATATCTGACAGCACCGGAAGTGAAATTAGTGTCCACTATTGTACTTCGTGCCGGGAGGATAAAAACGGGTTCGTAATGAGCCTTCAGCAGTTCTGCAGCTTCTTTGTCCGACGTTGATTGTTGCCGTCGGGTCTCAGCAGGCTGCTGGTGGCAGCCTGCGATTTAGGCAATGTGCCGAAAGAAGACTTTGGAGTTATCGGCGAAGCTTCTAGCGAGAGCAAGCTGGCAGCCCTCTTTGTCTTGGCGAACAGCTGCTACACAGGAATTTCCCACTCTACATTATTGTGTTCGCGATTCGGAGTCACTAAGTAGTCAGCATGTGTCCCAGAGGGCCTTCTTCTCTATGATCAGTCTAAGTTTGGAGGGCCGAAGCTGCTTGCGGCGTTTCGTCGCAAAAGCACGCTCTGTAGGGACGTATGCCCTAATGACGTTGTTGATGTGAGCAGCAATGTAGTTCCATTGGTCATCGACTGTGGGAGTTTGTGCTGCGAGGGACCAGTCAACTCAGAAAATATGCTCTTTGATCGCGTCATAGTCCGCTCGGTGAAACTTTAGCCTAGTGGTTCATACTTTGGCTTTGAGCGAGACATTTGCTACCACCCGAAAACTGATAACTACATGATCACTGGCACCGAGTGGAGTGTTCAGTTTTAGATCGTCCATTAGATGTGGCATATTAATGAGCAGCATGTCGAGTTACGACGGGTTTTGACCGTCAGGCCACCGAGTGAACTGCTGTACGTGTTCGGTTAGGCCATGTCCTAAAACACTGGCAAGAAACTGGTAACCGTGCTGGCCGTGAGCCTGGCCTAGTCTATCTCCGGAAAATGAAGCCCCTGCGACGAGTAGGGGGATAAGTAAGTTAGCGGCAACTGCTCGAAGGGTTGCATTCAAACGCCACAACCATTCCGGAGGAGGTAAGAGCAGGCGATAGAGCACTACAATAGTGAGAATGGTCGCACCGGAACATCGGAGACGAATCCAGAGAGTTTTAGAAAGAGATAGCAAGTCTTGAGCTTTGAGAAGGAGGCATGTGAGACTGTCTGATAGGTATGCAGCTACGCCTCCGGCCATGCCGCGTTCACGGCCATTTCGAAGCAACACGTATCCTGGGATGGCTACCGCGGAGTCGACAGCGTGTGAACACAATCAAGTTTCAGTTGCACAGATGATCTTAGCTTGCGTGTCAAACGCAAGAGCGCCGATTTCTGGCACCTTCTTCCATAGTGATAGAGCGTTAGTGTACAATCAGCTCCACTTGTTAACATGCACTGAGGGCGACCAGTGGTAACAAGGTACAGTTGGTGGGGCAGTTTGGGTTTGGTTTACGCCCATCCCTCTAGGGTCGGAGATTGCTCGTATTTTTAATAAATCCTCAAGTCGCGCAAAGGCTGCTGTTCATAGACGCAATCCAGCCGTTGACAGCGATGTCCGGGTTGTCCAAGTCGTCGTAAACTTCGTTCACGACGGTAGAATGGACAAAAAAGGCCAACAGAAACTATCTATCAACAACGACGTTTATCTGGCTCAAGTTGACCGCCTTCACGGCCCTACGATGATTCGTCTATCTCATATCACGGGTACCTTCCGTAATGGTTTTACTGAGGTGAAGCGAGAGACACAAATAGATTAATCATGTCGCAACTGCTTGAGTACGGCCACATGAGCTCTGAAAACGAGTTTAGAATCATCTGCTCCATTCCTAAAAGAGATTCTCACTCCGATTCTAGAAACATCTGTCTATGCTTGTAATAATCTCTAAAGGCCACCCATGAGCCCTGAAGCTGAGCTTCTCACAGGCGACTGTTATTCGGGGTCCAAGCTAGCAGTACGGCCTCAATTTTGATAATTAGTACTACGCAAATGCCACATAAAACTACTGTGACTGCTTCCCTGTCATCAGATGGGATCAGGTGAAATTTGACTTTCTTGGTGCTCTGGGATTTCAACTTAATCCGAGTGTTAAGATCTTACAGTGGGGTTTCGAAAATACAGTAAATGTCGATAGTACGCGCGAAACCAGCCTGCTTCAAGATATGAATAAGTTTGAGGGCAAAATTAATCACACGTCGTCTTAAAACCGACTGGATTAAGTATGTTCTGATTTAGTGGAATACGATACGTTGGTAGTCTTCTAAACTAGCCTAGATGGAACTTAGTAGGGACCTATTCCTAGGATTACCGCTAGTTTATCATTTGATGTGACTGCAAAGTGAATGCTTACACCTTAAATGATTTGTATTGCTTTCATTCTTGCTTCAATTCCTCTGAAGAAGCAAAGATATTCAATCAAACGTCGAGGCACCGAGGACCCTGATTCACTCGTCGGTACAAAAAGCAGGACGTTCCTCCATGAAACCTGGCCTGATTTCATCTATTGTATCCTTCATATGACGTTGTACTCGGTTAAGTTAAGAAGATTTGTCGTGACAACAGTGTCTGAGCGGTAGGGAATATAAAAGTCTTCTTGCAAACGATTCCGTGAATACAGTTTTTGACACACCAAAAGCGCGAGCAAATGTCTGCGTTGCTATAGATTACCACACTAAGAATTCCATCTCGTGACTAATCGAATAGCCGCTAGTGTCCGATCGATAATCGTCCCCTTTGAATTCCTCTCCGTTTATTCATGCTGGATAGGATACCAACAAAAGAATCACAATTGTTCATCTGTTATCCATCGTCGGATTTACTCATTGGCCACGCCAGTAGCTGTTAATCACTCGTCATGTCGAAATTTGCCAACTTTATTTCAACCTTCAAAGGTCGTTTATCAAGGCGATCCGTTGCTCAGCCTGGCGACAGTACACCCCAGTCCTCAACAGAAGCTGTCGATAATCCAAAGAACGCAGTAACGGATGTTGACACTAACCACACAGACTTTACAACCCAGTGCGGTGAGGGAGGAATAGGCAAGCCGGATGCGGAGACTCAGTGCGAAGACGGTTCCCGGCCTAAGACATGTGAAACCGAGAGCAACACTGCACCCGACAAACACAGTACTAGCGAATATGTTGTAGAAGCTAATGAGGATAACGTAGAGCCAAAGCCTGACTCCATGGACCAGACGGGAATGAACGAAGGACAAAAAGCAATGCAGACATAGCCGAACTAATTTCAGCGGTCAGATGAGAGTCCACACTTCCGACCGTTAGCAATGCCAACGAAAATTCCTGTCCATCACACCACAGTGCCGCGCCCCTTGGACTTTGTATGTGCTACAACACTTTAAAGCTCCAACCCCAAAGTGCGTCAAGGTGCAGTTATCAAATTTCTTAAGTACCTGCGCTGGTTAGTGCGAAGTCTGTTGCACTCAACAAGCCTCATTTGATCCGTCCCCGTATTTTGTTTCCAGTCATTTTCAATACAGTCATTATGCTTTCCAATATTGTGAAGGGAAAGATTTCAACATACAGGCTAGCTCGCGGCGTGGCTGACTGCCACTTGTTTAGAGCTTCAGTAACAAGGACACAACGGTGAAATAGTCGGAGTGGGACTAGACTTTAGGCTGGATAACATCGTACTGACTAAGCCAACCTGTATGCCAAGTGCAAAGACGCATCGAAAAACATCTGAGAACGGCAAAACCCATTCAAGCGAAGAAACCTCGTAACTTACTATTGGCTGCAGCAATTCAATAATACACTGGGAGACACCTTGCTATTTAGTTAATCTAATAGCTCTTAAAGCTATAGTCTTTTGTAACATCTACTTCATAAGCGTATTCAGCAGATTCCACGTGGAGATCTTGGAAAACGCGCCGTGTATGAGTTCTAATAAAGAAAACTTATTTGTTTGAGTTTCGTGCCCTGAGAAGGCAGGTCATCACTAAGGCATCAGCGATATATATATACACTCGGGTAAGTGTGTAATTTGCATCCATGTTTGTTTATACGCTCACAAACTGAACCTTAACATGGTGCCATGGTTTGTGTGCCTCGATGATCCATTTAGCTATGCTGGGTGGTGCTTTACACCTTCAGAACCACTCATACCAAATTGGTCAATGGTTAGAGGCCAGACGAACTCAGTCTCCTGGCCCTTCAGGTTGGGGGTTGGAGTGAGGGTGGCTCCTTTGTCCCTAAATTGGGCTTCCTTTAGTTCAGTGCCAAAACGTCGATGCTTTGCTGTAAGGTTTTTGAACCAAAGACTATAGTTGAGCACCGTAATTGTTCTCGTGTCAAGGCCTGGGTAACCTGACATTATCCTGCCCACGCAATACAAGGTGACCTTTCCTCCTAACAATCTCTTGGTACTCTGGCCGTCGTAGAGGTCAATGAAGGGTGCCCTAACTGCTTCAGCGAGTAGGCTGGATTGGGGTTTGCATGCTACTGCTCAGGTCTTCCTACTTCTTATTCCCCCTCCGGCGCTTTTTCATCCTTAGCGCCCCCCTCCAACTTCCATGTAATGCCCCAGTTTTCAATCCACCAATTCTTGGCCCACCCAAACCTTGATTCAATAGTCAATTGTCTTCTAGTTGCTGCTCACAGACAACCGCAGGACGTCGCCCCAATCGAGTAGAAAAGTCCAGGTTCAACCGAGTGGACAAAGGCAGTTCATCCGTTTCCCTTTTGAGTCCTCGATCCTCGCTAATACCGGCGTTCCTCAACCAGCGCACATTGCTACAGATTGATCAACATGCAGCACTTTCCCGAACACTCCAGACCCTATCGATTGATAGTTGCTGTTTACCGAAAACGCGCCTACAAGAATCGAGCTCCGTGCTTCCCTGAGATCCCCACATGCGACACGGGAGGTACATTCTCATTGCGCCTGTCTGTGGATGACGCAGCACCGAATGCAGGTCAGGCTGGAATCGGCATTGTTTTGAGTCGTCGGGCGGAAGCTGCCCTGATCGGCTGAATTCCAGTCAACAGCGGTTATGCGCTGTTAGATTAACCGGCTCGTTCCAGACTTCGAAGTTGCGCGAGGACAAACGGTGCTTGTTTGTCAATGTGATTTACGCCCCTACAAAATGTAGCACTGCTTCGTTGAAAGATGATTTCTATCAGCAACTTCACGATCTCCTTCGTTACTGAAGAAGCACGGATACTGTGGTGATTGCTGGTGATCTAAACTCCCAAGTCAGAAAATTGTCCTCGGATGAGCTTCAGCTGGACGGTTAACATGATGTAGGCTTCCGTAATGATAACGGTGAGTGGTTGCTACAGCAGTGTGAAGATGCTCGTCTCCTTCTCACCAGCACTAACTTTCGACACAGCATCCGCATAAGGGTGACTTGGCGCCCAGCAGCCATGGGCGCAAATCGATAAGATCGCGTTCAGTTACCGCTGGAGAGGCTGTGTCCAAAACTGCCGCTCGATTTGGAGCACGAGCGTGCACTTCGAGCACGCTCTTGTGTGTGTTGATCTGCGGGTGCCTTTCGGAGGACGTCCACAACGTCGCTCTGATTGCGCTGACACCAGCCAACTGGTGAAGCCAGGTGTTCTGAATGAGCATCAAACTACGCTGGCATCTAGGCTGATACGTGTCCACTGAACACCGTCAAAGATCACTGGTCGCATATTCGTCAAACTTTATCATCTGCAGGCATATCTTCATGTGGCAAATCAAATTGCCAACCTAAACATTGGCTCACTATAATGTCTATGGAGTTTATGGATGCTCGCCGACGGATTCCGTCTGGAAGCGAATACAATGAGACTTCCGAATTTTCAGGGCAAAACTTCGTGCTAACCTGGAAAGAGAGACCGCGAAGCCTGGTGGTCTTATGGTGCATTGAAAATGGAAACAGCCGCTGCTGTTGGCACTCATCGTAATTTATGCCGTCTGATACGGGAAATAGACAACAGGTGACCTGGTGTTAGCGAGACGATATGCGACGGGAGTGGACAGACCATCCAGAGCTTGCCACAAAGCTTGGAGCGTTGGGTCGAACGATTGCGTGGCAGTTTAAACAATCTGTGTGATGGCTTTCTTTTTCTGACATTGAATGCCCTTCTGCATGGGCCGTCTCCTTAGATCCGCCTTCGTGCGTCGAAGTGCAACGCGAGATCAGATAGTTGACATTGCATAAGACAGCAGTGGCCTATAGAGTTCCCCCAGCCCTCTGCGAATTCGTGGGACCTGCTCTTGTAGACGATTTAAACGAGTTGCTAGTGGAGCTATGAGAGCAGGAAACTGTCCAGACAGACTGGAACCGCTCCGTCATTGTCCCAATTTGCAAATGAAACACTGGCTCGGAATGCGGCAATCATAGAAGGATCAGTCTGAGCAAAACTGCCTCTAAATTGCTCAAGTTTGTCGTTCTCCGCAGACTGATTGGTACTCGTGAAAGTCAGGTCCGTAAAGAGTAAGCCGGGTGTCGTCACTTTCGAGGCTGCATCGGCCATATCTTCACTTTGCATCAATTGTGGGTGCACCGTCATATTTATTGGCGACCCACCGTTGTCGTGTTTCTCGACCTCAAAGTTGACTTCGATTCTGTTTATCGACGTGCCCTTTGGGACTGTCTGCTGAGAAAACGTGTAGCCGATAAATATGTAAACATTATCAAAGCGCTGTAAGCGCATGGTTCGGGCAGTGAGGGTTTATGGCAAACGGTCGCCGCTCTTCAATCTCTCCAGCGGTGTGAGAAAGTTTGACCACTGTCATTTATCCCAACTAATTTCCCCATTGACGAATGCACAGAAACAGCACTCACTGGACTCAACCTACAGGGTGTGCAGCAGCATCCTGGTGAGCGACTTCTTGGCTTGGAGTATGCTGACGATATTGCCCTCATATGTGACAGTGCTTAAACGTGCCTAGCAGAACTGCACCGATTAGCATTGGCTGTCTATCGTTTTGGGCTTTGCTTTGCTTCGTGAAATTGCAAAGTAATTCTCCAAGATTGGCAGGGACCCGCCGCTGCGCTGACCCCTGGTGGTGATCAACTAGAAGTGGTTCAGGAATTCAAGTACCTGGGCAGCTATATTAGCGCTCGTGGGATGGAAGATGAGATAATGAACCGTTTCGCAAAAGCTCGGGGTGCTTTTGCCAATCTCCGCCACCCGTGACACAGACGCACCATCACTCTCGTCCTGAAGGGTAGAGTTTACAATGCAGCCGTCCGTTCAACCCTTTTATGCGGTTGTGAAACTAGGCCCATCAGCTCGGCAGACATAAAGAGGCTAGCCATGTTCGATCATCGCTGCCTCCGCAGCTTAGCTCATGTCTGGTGGGAGCACCGCGTGAGCAATGAGCGTGTTCAGCCGCGCGCACTTGGTGCAGGAGAAGCTCGTGAACCGCTCAGCACCATTATGTCACGCACCAGGCTCTGATGGCTGGGCCACGTGTTGTGCATGCCAGCACACCGACTCCCGAGACGTGCATTATTTGCGTGCCTGGGGTGCGGTTGGAAGAGGAGGGGGAGGCCAAGCGATGACTTGGTCGAGAGAATTGAAAACCCTCATTTCGAAGTTGGCGTCTGTTGGTGCATTCTGACTGCCTGACTGGGGTCCTAAGGATGATGAGCACGTTCTGTTGGATATTTGCTGATATGGCGAAGAACCGGCCCCAGTGGTTTTTCTGTTGTTTATTTGTTAATCCTCCTCACTTTTAGATCCCCTTCCAATTCCGATCTCCTACGAAATACATAAGCTAATATTTAACGGTATGTTCCTGCTGTTAAGTTATTTTTGCAGTGCAACGTTATTGTACCTAACCTTTCTGTATTTCGGCGCATTTGTTTGGGTTTGGGTCTCACTTTCAACTAATTTATATTGATGATGATATACACAGGATAAACTCTGGCTACCCCGATGTGCACAGCTTCCGGCAGGCACAATGGACATTATATATATATATATATATATATATATATATATATATATATATATATATATCATCGTCGACGGCAGTAATTCAGCCATTTGAACTGATGCTTCGCTGCCATAAAACCATGCGGACCTATGAAATAAAGAATAAGAAGAGGGCAAGATGGGGACTTACCTGGAAACCTTAATGCCCTAAGCAGACATTCTGGAGCAATGCTCTTACACCTTGTGTAGACAACATACCGTTACAAACATCTGGCTATCGTGCAAAGATAAGGCGGCATCGGCGAGACAGCTTCCTTGCGGCTTTCACTGACCCGCATCACAA